GCATCAGCCCCTAGTTTTTGGTAGGCAACATTTAGTTGCGCACAGTTAAATGCATGCCATAAATTTGGTCAGGGAGGACAAATGCCCTCGGGGCATTCACGTGCGTACGTCCCCGTCATTGTGCACGGCGCCTGCCACTTGCATCTAGGAGTTTATCGGGGTAAAAGTATGCCTCCGCCGCCGAGTTCGCCGCGGCAAAAAAAAAAAACGAGTGCACTCATTACTCGCTGAGGGCGCATACTCGATGGCCACAACAAGGTGTGGCCATTCAGTGCCACAGCAAAACATTTTGTGGTACTTTCGAACCCATGCGGTGCGGACTGGCAACACCGGAATGCGCAGTTAAACGGAACGACAACCTTTTATGTTACGGCAGCAGCGGTAACCCGCGCAAGATTTAAACGACGGCTGTGCTTGGCAGTCGGTTGCATACTAGTTGCTTGGATTTTTTTCCGGCGTGCAAAATGACGACAACTTCAAGCCAGTCATGCTGTTCCTGAATCTGTCGTTGTATTTCTATCTTAACACTGCCGCTTTGCCTCAATACCGCAGAGTCTCAGGCCGACGCACTATTCAGTTTGTCGATAACTTACCATTGCGTCATTTCCTCTTGCGTCAAACATCGCTGGATAAGCTATCTACACATACACCACCCAAGAGCGCCCTCTAGCCGTGATCCCAGATTACGTGCACTGGCATTGTTCACGAAAAAGGCGTCCCGCAAATGGGAATCCCGCGACTCGTCGGTGCTCGCGCATCAAAGTGAATAGCTTTTCGACAGCGTGACTTCTGTTGAAGTTGTTTCACCACGCATACAACTAAAGTAATTCAACTAAAGTAACTCAACTCTAACTCTAAAGTAACGACTAAAGTAACTCTACGGGATCACCGTGACCAGCGACTTTTGTTGCCCCGGCGACCTTAACTCATAGCCGGGCTGGGGGACTTGCTTCTGGCTTAAGGCCAGGCAAAGAGCTAGGTTAAGCCGGCTTGTGCTATCCGGCGCAAGTGAGGAGACAGGGGTAGACTACGTTACGTTAAACCGGCTAATGCTGTCCGGTATCAATGCAAGAAAACGCGCTCGATGCTACGTTAAACCAGCTAATTTTTTCCGGTAGCAAATGCAAAGAAAAACACGAGGCACACACACACACACACACATGCATTGTATTCAACCATCACAATACGTTTGGATGACGGACGACCACATCATCGCAGCAAAGGTTTCCCCGCACAGCAAACGGCGGGCCCCCGGCTGAGCAGTCAAGTCCGTCAGCGACCTGGACCGGGTCTCTCCCACTCACTGAATGGGGGAGCGGCCCGGTGCGACCTTGCCGTGTTGTGTAGTGTAATCCGGGAGAAGTCCGAACTACAAAAACCCGGATTCCTAAACCTATGGGGAAAAACCAGCACGTTTATGCCGAATTGTGATTGGAAAAAACCCTTGCAAATGAAGAAAACCAGCACGTTTTGGCCGAGACCAGCGACGTTCGATCGGCGCACAACATTCATGGATCCCGTACCGAATCGTCAGCACGCATGCGCACTCCTCATGCTCGCACGTGAGTGCTGTGGAAATGTAGGGCGCGCGCTGTCCTCGGTCTAACCTGCACATGGTCAGCAGGCAAAGCAAGACGAACGGAAAAAAGCAAGACAAGACAAATGCATGTAGACAGAGGCATATTTTGTGGGTGGTGTGTTACATCACAGCCTCATTAGAACACGGAACCCGTACGGATATGCTGTGCACCACCATACTGTAGCAGACATGATTCTACAGTACGGGGTCCAATCTACGATCGCTTGGCTTTATTAAAAAAAAACCCGAAAAATAACGGTTGTTTGTAACTGTGGGCATGTCAACAAGGTGTGCGAAACACGCAGACTTGGCTTTAATGTTACCCGGAATTTACGTAAGTTGTTCAGTGCATTAGCGAGGAACATTGTTCACCTAGATAAGCCGGTAGTACTGGCCTTATTTGTCGGAAAAACCAGGAGATTGGACATATAGGTACTAGGTTGATATTTCGGCAACATGCCTTTATCGAAACAATGGCAGAAGCTACAGTTCCGATATGCTGTCGGGGCATGTTGATAACATGAAAGACAGTGTGCTAAAAAAGTAACGAGCGTGTTTGCGCAGCTCCAGTCCTGTTCAGCTGCACTCCACGTGCCTCACAGCGCCATGCTGGTGTCGACGCTTATCGTCAGAAGCAATCATTGGCATCAGGAATAAACCAAGTGGAATGCTGTTCATTTGGTGAACAGCATTCGTGAAGTATGAAATATGTTATCAGCATGCCTTTGATAAGATGAAATATGTTATTTTCTACTATTGTTTAATAAAGGTTTTACACAGCGTTTCTGTACGGACTCTATGTCCTAATTAGACTTATTCCTCGGAGAAAATCAGGAGAATGGAGATACAGTTGGACTGGTATTTCGGCAACATGCCTTCATGGAAACAATAGCAGAAGTGAATTAAAAATTGTAAGTTTGGCCAAATTGGTAAAAATAGCCAAATTGAACTTTTTGCAATGAGGCAATTTTGAAATTACTCCTGCTATTGTTTCGATAAAGGCATGTTGCCGAAATATCAACCCAACTATGTTTCCATTCTTCTGGGTTTTCTCCGAGGAATAAGGCTAACACTTGCTGTCTTACCTAGGTGAATAATGCTCCTCGCTAATTCATTGAACAACTGATCGGCAGATACATTCATTTGCATCAGGAATAACCCGGTGGAATGCTGTTCATTGGTGGGAATGTTGGAAAAGCATGCATCGCTATTGCGCCCCAAGCTGCTTTGGCCTTTTGTGGCTTGTTCTCGTGCAGCTGACTGGTTAGAAGGGCCTGCGTTGCTGGAAAGGTTGCCGAAGCTCTCCACAGCTCCCCTAAAGCACTCATCGTTTTTTTCCGTCAGGCCCATTGTCAGGCCATTTAATGTATTCTGTCAGGCCACGTGCCTGGACGGCACGGCAAATGCAAACGCCATCTGGTTTGTGGGGCGTATGCTATACCCGACACAGCATTGTTCAATTCATGCGTCACTCCTGCCACATCCGGTCAGCTCAGTTCGTCAGTCGCTGGACTCGCTATCAGAAAACCCAGGTTCGAATCCCTGCGATTCCAGGGAGAATCGGGGCTGTGGAGCGTACATAGCTGCAATTCAGTCATCATCCGGTCCTTCTAAGGACTCGTGTAATGCCTGTCAATGGCCGGAGAGTTAACTGACCGCAGCGATGTGTAACACACCAGACGAGGATGACAACCGGAAAACAATTATTTAATCCGTAATACATTGCAATGGGATGGCAGTGCGCCTGTGGCGTCACTTGGGCATTGCAATGCGCAGCCCATGATACCGTTGCACAGCGCTTATGACGTGTCCCCAAAGAGCTTGCGATGGACCGACCCGATCGAGGTGATGGTAGGGTCTCGCCGAGCTCTTGGAGTCAGAGGCACGCAGAATCAGAGGGTCGGATCTCCATCGCAGCTC